TGCTCAACAGTGAAGCCCTTGGTGTCGCTAGGAGCGCTGGGGAAGGTGACTGGAATGGGGCTGCTGCAGCTGCTGTCAGTAGCAGAGACAGTGACACCAGTGATCTTCTTGTTGCTGATAGTGTAGCTCAGAGAGTAGCCACACTTGTCACGGTTGAAACGTTCCAGGAAGGAAGCGGACATGTCGGCGTGCTTGAGTGTGATCAGGGGCCAGGTGACCAGGCGAACGAACTCAGCAACCTGGGTCTCAACCCAAGCCTGGAAGATAGAGTACTTTCCAGACACGCCGTTAATGGTGATAGGGTCATTGCCGACGTTTTTGAGGTTGGCCTGGTGGAACATGTAACCGTCGTGGTGAAGACCGAACAGGTGGCGCATGGTATCGGCCTTTTCGGTGGCGAGCAGGTCGTCGAATGTTCCGCTACCGGCGGAGGTATCGATCCACTCCTGCAGGGTGCAGGCCGGGGTATCGCAGTTGTAATAGATGCGAGTGGCCCAGCGGGGGTTGACCTGCATGCCGTTGAAACCATCGGTAGAAGTCACAGTGAAGTAAGGCCACATGGCGTTCTCGGTGTTGAGGAGGGCAGGGCGGGTGTTATCACCAACACAGTTCTTGATACCGTTGTCCCACCAAGCCTGAAGAGCATCTCCGTTGTGGAGACCGGTGATGGCGGGAGGAATGATACCGTTGGCAGTGTAGTGAGTTGCCTGGTCAATACCGACAGCCTTGAGCCAAGCCTGGTTGAAGCTGATCTCCCTGTTCACATCAAAGTAGGTAGCGTTGTCCTGCTCCTCGTGGGTGAAGGTGTGAGAGATGGAGCCAAAGCTGTTCAGGTTGCCAGTGGTGGTCCACCAGTTCAGAAGAGGGTCCAGCTTGTTGCAGGTGGTGGTCCAGTCGTAGGCAGTCGGGGTAGCGGGCCACAGGTTAGTACCGGTGCCCAGAGGCTTCTGGAACTCAAGAGCAGTGTCCGGAGGGGAGTCGTATTCAATAGCACCACCGTTGCATTGTCTGGCACCAGAGTCGGTGTTTGAGGAGTTCTCGATGTTACCATTTCCGTTGTGGCCGACCTCGGGGAAATAGATACTACCAGCGTTCATCTTTTCGAGAATGGTGGGGATCCAGTCACGGACGCCATCCATGTCTCCGGTGGTGATACGGAAGGTAGTTCCACTGGGGTAGTAAATATCGGTCTCGAGGAACATGTCGTCAATCTGAGTGTTCAAGTTGACACGACGATATCCGGCGTGCAGTCCACGGGTGATCCAGGTAATCCAGGCATGCTGCAGGTAGTTGGAAGTAGCACTCCAGGTAGTGTCAAACCCGATGAAGAAAGCCATCTGCTCACGGCCATCAAAGTCGTTGATGACAGCAGCAACAGAGTCACTCGTGACAACAGAGTTGGCAGCGAAGCTAGCAATTTGCTTGGTGGAGGTGGTGTTGCTGATAGTAGCCGGGTAGTGCCAGAGACCAGAAGTACTGACACCAGCTCCGGTGCGCAGACCAGAGGTGGGGAAATCGCTGATATCGGTGAAAGAGATGTCCTGCTCAACACCGGTGTCACAGCATCCACCGCCCACAGCAGAAGCACCGTAGTTGGGACCGGGGTAAACATCATATTGGACCATACGAACACTGTACGCGAGCTGGTAGGCATACAGCTGGTTCCACTGGTCGGTGGTCAAGGCACTCTGGTAACCGGTAGCGCCGTAGTCATAGCTGACCTCAGAAGCAACGACGATACCACCGAAGTTTCCACCGGAGCTGGAGTTCAGAGCAGGCAGATCAATACCGGCCTGGGGAACGACCAGGGTGGTGAAAGGAATACCATAGGCGTTGAGGCCGGAAGAAGCAACACCAGCGGAGGCAGTGTCCTTGGCAATCACAAGAATGTTGGCAGCAACATTGGCATTGGTGATTGCCGTGGCAGTGGCCGTAGCCGAGATGGAAATAGCAGTTGAAGACATGCTGGTAGTCACAGAGGGACTGGAGATAATTGGCGAAGATGAAGCAGTTGAGCTCGAAATAGGCTTGCTGGTAGCTGAGCTCGAGGAAACCGGGCTAGAAGCAGGGGAAGATGACACAGAAGAGACTGCAGATGAAGAGACTGCACTGGTAGGAGTTCCAGAAGGCGAGCTGGTAACCGGGCTTGATAGCGGGGACGAGCTAGGGGTCGAAGAGCTGATAGCAGAAGAGCTCAAAGGCGACGAAGTCACGCTAGAGGAAGCAGTTGTGCTGCTAACGGGAGTCGAAGTTGGGGAAACAGCCTGGGTGCTAGAGCCAACGTTCGACGATGAAACACTGGAGCTAACGGGACTTGACACAGGAGAGGAAGTGCCAGTAACAGGCGAGGAGGAAGAATGAGCAGCAGAGGAGCTTGGGGAAGAACCAATTGCCGAAGAGGAAGTCAACGACTGGGACGGGACTGAGGCAGAGCAGTCGGGGCAACTGGATGAAGACGAAGAGGGAACCGAGCTCGATGAACCTGGAACGCTCGAGGAAGCAGCCGAGGTCACAAAGGTCGATTGTGGGGCGGTACTAGGGGACGAAACAGTCTCAACAGAGGAAACAGTGCCACTCGAAGTAGTGGTGACAGAAACAGACAAAGTAGGAGACAGTGATGGAGTCAAAGACGAAGTCAACGATTGGATAGTAGTAGTAACCACGGGAAGGGTAGTAGTGGTAGAGTCAACGACAGCAGTGGTGGTAGTAGTATGATGACCAGGGGGGATTGGGATGGGTGGTATGAGTGGGATGAGGACGCTCCCAGGCAATAACGACAGGCTTGTGTTTTGGCCAAACACCAGGGCGAGTGTTGCAGGTTATAAGGCCGTAGAAACAGCCAACCTTCAGAGCCCAAGTCGGTACGTGGACCATCGTGATATCGACCAGGGGTAATAAAATGCGAGGAGAATAGGAACTAACGCACCAGTACCATGCAATAACTAACGAGTGACGGGGTCGGGTGCAGACGAATACACGAGGCTTGCATATCAGCACCTAGAAGGGCATGGTTCTTGACCTTTATGTAGTGGGTGTGGAGTACGCTCAATCCTCCGAGGCCTATCGCCTTTACTGTCTATGAAGAAAACTTTTTACGAATGACAATTTCCACGATGCAGTCATCTTTCTCGGCTCCTCCATCGAGAGACATTGTGGCGTGTCTTCATGGAGTAAGATTGATAGGATCGATGGAAATATTTCCTGGGGACCGTGAGCCAAGTGATCGGTTGATTCGGAACAGATCGATTTCAGAGAGTCATGATCTATGCTAGCGGGACTTTTCAAAGTCTTAATTGGCTCGTTTACAAAGGAGAAAATTCTGTTCAGTGGATATCGTCTGCAGGTCTGGGATACTTTCAGCCCCGGGTGCATCTTGACCAGAACTGCAAAGGAATATCATAAGCGAGAACAAGACGGAAATAAGAAAAGCGAAAAAGAAAAAGGAAGGTCAATCGGGTTAGCAAACCGAGACAACGAAGACGCTATGGTTTATCGGGCAAAAAACCCCGAAGAACCGACAACTGTTCGGTGTTTGGCGTGGCCAAGAGCAAAGTACCGAGTCGATGCTCAAGTCTAACGCCCAGATGGGATTACCCACTTTTGGGGCTCATCGAAAGAGACAGGCCCAGGTGGCGCTGCGCGGGGGTTGCAGACACATCAACCAGGGGAAATGCACAGGTCCAGACCTTGGCGCCGAGAAGGGGGGGGACATGGAGGCGTCGAGCTGTCCCTGGTCCCTGGTAAAGTAAACATGCCAGTAAGATGTTACGGTTTGAAGTGGAGATGGTAATATTGATTTGCAAATTCTACGGGGATCGTAATTTAAATACTGGTAGTGAATTACAACTTTCAGTACCGCACGGCTATTCCTAACCAGGCTTAGGCCCCCTCAACATCTCAACTGCGACTGTTTCCCACGACCCGTTAGTACGTTAACACCGGCGCTAATGATACCGTGCTAATTCGAAAAAAATTCCAAAAAATAGGAGAAAAAAAAAGAAAATTATTCAGAGAATGCAGTCACCGCGGTCGAGTTTTTTTGCTCCATCAGCTGAGTGGATCGGCCTAGCCTAGCCAACACAGACTCAGTCGTGGAGGTGTGCTTGGCCCGTGTCTGGAACTCACGCCATGTATCAATTGGGGTTCCCAAGACGGAGAAGGAGACGGAGGGTGGGATGATTCGAAGTATCACAATTAGATTGACCTGTTAGCCCCTGGTTGATAGAGCAGATGTCCGCAGCTATACGGTATAGCCTCGAGATTGGATTGAGAACAGTCGGGGTGGCTACGTCCAATTTTCATCTGCAGTTGAAGAAAAGCAGCCCCCGCCAAAATAATACCACAATGATGGATCGCATGGAGAGCGGGGCTTTGGCTCACACATGGCATCGGGTACATACTAGTTGCAGTGCGGGTCAAGTCCATCGCGTGTCTCGCCCATCCCTGCTGCATATCCCGGTGGCTTTGCTGGGCAAAGAGAATGCTTTCGGTGCTATTTTTGTCGTTTGGGCTCAAAAGTCTCCTTGTCTTGCAATCGAATCAGGGTACACACGGACCGTCGTTCTCGACTGAGAGCCGAAAGAGTCAAGAAAAAGCGAGCGGCTTATACGAGCATCTTCTTGTTGTCCTTCGCGCTAAAGGAGGCAAGCTACAGTAGTTTTGAGTCGGACTTGTCCGTGACTGCAGCAAAGTTGCAACCTCGCTTCCTTCGTTTACTTTTTTGCCTTTGCGCATCCTCTCTCGTTACTCATATTATCTGCTTGAACTTCCGGCTTGCCGCCCCAAATCTTGTTTTGTTCTCTTTGACACTCGTTTTCAACATTTGCTCTTCCCGAAAGCAAGCTTCAAAATGCTATAGCGCTTGTTTTCTGAAGTGGCAACTCATCTGACACAGAAAGGGTTTCACTCTATACCCTTTCAAATTCATTCGTTTCTCCCTTTGCACTTTAAGTGCTTGAGGAGCCCCAAAAATATACGAGGAGAATCGCCGATTACTCGCTATGGCACAGATTCTCTCAGTGCACCCAGTGGGGTGGAGCCACATGAAGGATCACTGGTGGCAGTTTGTACGTTACTTTGGTTCACGTCACAATCGATCCTCGATCCTGGTGCATAATTTTGAGGAAATGAAACGCTGACATTTTAATAATAGTTGATGATCGGAGTTTTGTTGGCCTGCATTGCTATCGGATCCGCGCATATTATCTGGTCTTTGGTTTCAAAAGCAATTAAATCTTACAAGGTAAGCAGCTCACACATGGGATAAGATGCATCCTGCACACAATTACTCATATCAATTTATTTTCCTAGTCGAGATCAGTTCCAGACAAAATCCCTTCAAATGTTTCTCAGCGCCTCGAAAAGCTTGCCAACAGGAGTCTTCATCTCACCGCGCCCCCAACCAAGCAAAAGCCGTCTTCCTTCGGGGTTTACCTTGGGGCCTTCGAAAAATCTCCTACGGAATCACAAAATCGGTTGCTGCAACAATGGGACCTTCTGATCGTCGACCCATTCCAAAATGGAACTACACAGGCCATCACTCAACATGGTCAAAGCCAGGTGCTGGGTCGAATCGATTTCCCGAAAGTCGTCTCGCCAAAAGAATCAGCTCTTTTGGCAATTGACAGAATTGAAGAGATCCTGGCCAACAATTTCAACGACACGGCATATTCTGGAATCCTGTTCGCCAATTGGGAAAACCAATTTTCTCCATCTATCCAGGGGAAACTGTTCGAGGTTATCAAGAGTCTCGGGTTGGAAGTATACCTGGAGACGCAATCACCCGATTTCTTGATGAGCCGAAAGTCTCTCCAGAACAGCGCTATTTCCGGCCTTGTCGTTCGAAACATTAGCATTTTGCCCTCTGGTGAAAAGCGTGACTATTTCCAAATGGCAAAGCTGCAATCCACCATCAAAGCATTTGTCTCCGAATCTTGCATGCGGGACTTCGTTGTTCTTGCATGGGAAACTCTCGATAATGACGCCACTCCCTCGAATGCTATTATTCGACGCTCGATTCAATGGTGTAGCTTCTACAGTGCTGTTTGCTGGATCGGCACCGAGGCCGCTCTACAGGATGCCGAATTGAATGTGCCTACAGTCGAGCCTCTTCCTGCGTTCGGATGGTTGAAAGATGCCGATATCATGAAAACCCATGATACATGGCGCTCGAATCTTCACATCTCTCCATTTGCTGACACTCAAACTGGGTGGGATACCATCCGTGAGCATTTCTCGGAGGTTGACGAACTTCTTGACTCTCAGGAGACGGAAGCTATCTCACCAGAGAGCCCAGGCGCCCGACTTCGTGATCCTCCAGAGTGGGTGGCTCAGGTGAAATCGCAGGGAAGCCCGCTTTCCATCTCCATGTCCGGTCAAGAATACACAGCGTTGGGCTGTTTCCCTCTTGGCTCGGAGTCAACGGCAATGGCTTTTGCTGAAATCCTCCAGTCGCAACAGCGCCTCAAGGGTCTTAGTCTTCTTCACCCGGTTCCAGCATCGAAAGTCCAAAATATCGGTCTGCTTCTTCGTAACTTTCAAGCGTCACTTGAAGATTCAAATTCAGACGAGCACCTCATCGCAGCTATCAAGGAGCTGGCTGACAGGGCATCGAATGAGTCTCTCAATGTCTACCTTGCATTGGATTCTGGGTTGAGAAAATCATCCGATGTTCGTTTCTGGTCTGTTTATCAACTCGACGGTGACAACGATAAGACCGAAATATTTGTTTCGAAGAATGCACCTGGTTTAGCCGGAACTATCTTGCACACATTCCTCTCCGCGAAGGGATTTTCACGACATGTCTGCTTTGAAACCGAAGTCGCGATGGCGAGCTGGTCGCAGGATTTGGTGCCAAATACTGATCTTCCTCGACGCATGACTCAGGATATCGATGTCCTCAGTCCGGAAGAGCGTCTGCTCCTTCTGCAACATTTGTCGCTGACAGACTCTCAAAGTGATCTCTCGGTAACCATTTGCTCATATATTCGCAAGCAACTCCTCGACACCCCCTCGTTCGCCCAGTTAAAAGAGCTCAACACTGTCGGTTACCTCGATGGTTCTGTCTCTGCAGAGGAACTCATACAGTCGCGCATTGATTGGTACAAGGAACAGGAGTGCCCACATCCATCGGTTGCCAGTTCCCTTCGCCTTTTCAACCAGGTTGACGAACTCTTCACCCAAATTCTGAAGTACCACCGGGAAGACGAGCTTGCAGCCATCACCAAGGGCCTCTGTGAGCTTACTCAGGATGGAAATATTGATGCTTATATCGACATGATGACTCTTTCTCTTTTCTGCGCGGCGCGAAAGGGCTCCTTTGATGAGATCTACGCAGAGGTCACTGACCGCAACCCGCTCTTCAACCTTCACCCTGACCAATCGGCAGCCTTTGCGGAGTCGTTCGCGCTCGGATCTCGCTGTGAAGCATACTTTGACGTTGCTCCCAGCGTTTTCGGCAAACTTCTATCCGATCGCTTCAGAGAACACTACAAGTTGCCGCAGAACCAACCTCCGGACTGGGCAAATGGTGCTACAGAGCTTGCGACTGCCTATGCAGGAGCTCAGATCGATGTCAACCCGGACGACAAATCGAAGCCTATGCGTAGTTACCAGCGCTTTACTTTCCTCAGTGTCTTCGCCATTCCAGCTTTGATCGACATCATCCTGCTCACTCTTATCGGACGTGGTCTGTATCTTTCTGCTTACATGACCGTCGAAGAGCAAAACAGCGCGACTATGGCGTTGATGATTTCGCTGCTCCTTTCAGGAGGTATTGGTACAATGATTGCTTGTGGTGGTCCTTACTACCTCATCTCTATGGCGTTTGCTGCTTCCAACATGTTTGTCTTGATCCGACTCATTGCTGGTATTGCATTCACTATCGCCGGTGGTTTGATCGGTTTTGTCGCCATCTCCAGCGTCAGAGGCCCTCGCGCTGGTATTATCTTCTACCTCTATTTGGTCTCACTGACCATCTACTTCTCGACCTTTGCTTCTCTCGCAAGTTTCAGTTACCCCGGCTCCACATTCCTGTCGGGTCGTAAGGCTATCATTATGTGCATTCCAATCCTCTTCGTGTCCCCCATCATCACCACTTTCACTGGGCACGATTCTGCGATCTATCTCGCCGTTATCTACATTTTCATCGGTGTACTGCTGCTTTGCCTGCGATCAACTACCTCCAAGTGGGTGACTTGGTATCAATCCTTGCGACGGACGGACGATACCGAAATTCGCAAATGGTATATCTCTGTCCACGGAAACAATGATGAGAAGGTCTTCGGAACTCTCAGTGATCCAGCTGCACTCAAACTCGCACGTGAAGCTCTTCACGAGGATGTGATGGCTGAAAAGAACCGCGGACTATTTTCAAGGTCAACTACCGACAAGCTCGTCAAGGAGATCGCTCGCGATTGGGAATCTACCAACTTCCTTCTCGATTGGTACTGCCGATATGCTGATGTTTCCCGTCCAATCCCATTTAGTTCTGGATGGAACATTCAAACTAAGGTTGCCCTGGATGTCCTGCGTAATTCGCAGAAAGGACTAAAGCTACACAATGCCTTCGTGCACTGGCGCCAGTCTAGCAAGGAGATCGGCTGCGGTGTTCTCTACTTCGTCATTGCTCTCCTCGACAAGTGGATTCAAATGCTGAGCGGTGATAAACAGCTTTCCGGTCTCCTCGGATCTGCCCTTAGCGATGCGAACCGTATGGCTACCGGATTTGCCTTGGCATACTATCTGATTGGTGCTGTTCTCATCGACACCAAGGCCCAAGAACTTCATGAAGCTATTGGCGGCAAAGCACCAGAGTCCGTCAGCGAGTCCAAACATATTCGCCCCTCGCAAAAGGGTGATATCCACTTCCGACGAAAGGTCTATTGGCGAACTCTCTTCAAGTTCCTCCTATGGCATGTGTGGAGTCTTGCTCTGTCTACCGCTTTGCTCTGGACATTCCAAGCACCTGTAGAAGGCGTGATCATTTTCTTCACATATGTGCTTGCCTACACCGGTCTCATCTGGTACCAATACACCAAGATCTTTACCGGTCCCCATGCATTGAAGCCACTCCTCACGGGAATCTTCGTCGGATTGCCTCTTGGAATCGCTCTGAGAGTCTGTCTTCCCAAGTTCCCTTATTCGCAAATCATTGGTCTAGGAGCCGCAACTTGGATTGTTGCCATACTGTCTCTCTGGAATGCGAAAATGGGAATGCCCAACAAAGTCGACTCCCTTGTTGAGATGGGCAAGATTTATCATGCTTTCACCACACCCTGGTCCGATCCCGAGTGGTCCCAGCAGGAGCTCCAGAGTTTTTATGAGAGAGTATCTCTCCTGCCAGCCGACTCCCGTTTCCAAGTTTTGCTCAGCGCCCACCCTGGAATTGAGATCAAGCAGGCCCTGGTCAATCGCAGAGAGGAAGTTCGTGTTGATGAAGCCTTCCCAAACTCCAAGGACATCATCACTCAAGCCTTGGGTCTTTGGGAGAAGAATGAAATCCAGATCGAGCTTGTGCCTCAAGGTTCGCTCGGCCCCAGTATCCGAGCCTTGGGATGCTATAACCAGGGTATACTTCATCTGGCTATCAGTGTGAGAGGTCTACACGATGAGCGACTGGATATCAGTGCCAATTGCCAGATCATTGCGGAGACCATGGTGCATGCCGTCGCAGAGATGATGCTGGGAGTCCCTCATGATTATGCCATGCTCTCTGAGGCAATTGTATCTGGCGGTGTCTCACACACCATGGCTCGCCAACTCAGAGAGGAAGCCAACACTCCTCTTGTCGTGCGCTGGGCCAAGAAGGAACTTCTGCGTCAGCTTTGCCTTGGCTTCGAGCCAGACCTTCATTGGGATAAGTTAACCGTCAAGGTTCGAACTGCTCTCTTGAACCGCTGCCTGGGACTTCACGCGGATCTCTCCATCGGCCAACACCAGTGGCTGCGAAAGAGACTCTGTCAATTTGACTCACAAAGCCTTGATGTTCATATTGCGCGATGCAATCTTGGAGCAGCCACTGCGATCAGCATTCTCGACTACGCTCACTATGGAACTGGTGAGGCGGCTGTTCCCAAGGACCCTGAGACTACCGAATACATCCCCTACGTCCCCAGAAAATTGCCAGCGGCCATTTCATTCCTTCGCGCCCCATTCAGCTATTCTTATCACACGCTTGGCTCAGTTGTCAAGTTCATCATGGTTGCCCTGCTTGCCGATCCCGAGTTCCAGAGAGAGTTTGATCATGTCAGTCAGTCTCTACACACTTTCGTTCGTGTACCATCGGTCTTCCTGCTCAATACGGTCTGGGTCTATGCCAAGATCTGTCAAGATCTGGGATTGTCATTCTTCTTGTTCCACGGCCGCAAGAACGTCAAGCAGTTATGGGAAGAGACCAAATCCATGACAGTTCACATCAAGAAGAGCAGAGTCCTCATTCAAAGCTTGGATGGAACTTTTACAGCTTTCAGACACCAGGAGACCGATGGAGGCTTCAAGTTCTACCAATACGTTGGTGAACACAAGACAGAGCCGAAAGAGGCGAAGGCGCTGAAGTACATCAGCAGCTATTCTAGTGAGATGCTTCTTCTGATTAGGCAAGAGTTCAAGGATGGAAAACTCATCAATGAGTACCATTACGACTACCACGTCCCGGGAAAGAAGGGATTCAAACTGGGCAAAACCTCGACCAACCGCACTCCTCTTGGCCGACGCTGCGTCCAGGGCGAGAATCATCTTCAGAGCATTGCTTATAACCCCAAGGGTCTCGTCGACAGGGGTTCTTACATGAAAGATGGCAACTTGATTAGTTTCAAGTATCACTATCGCAAGAATCCCCGTTTCGGTGACGAACTCCTCCGTGCTGAATTCTCCCTGTCTCACATCACTGCCAATGTCGCCTGGTGCGCACCTCCCCTTCGTCATCCTGAGAAGCACAATCGCTACATTCCGCACTCAAAGGTTATGGAAGCGACATTTGTCCAGCTCGGAAATGCCGATGTCTATGAGAGTCGCTGGCTTTATGATCACAAGTTCCACCCGACCATTTTCACCACCATCAATGGAATGAAGGTTCAAACCCCGCCCATGATTGAGCATGATTACCTCGGTGTTCTGGCCAAGCCGAAGTATACCAGCTTCTTGCATGACAATCCTTTCCTCTTCTGCAAGAGTCTCAAGTCTAATATCTTCACCCGCCTGTTTGGTCTCACAAAGAAGCGTTTTGCTGTCTCCACATCCAAGGCTCGTTCACTCATGTGGAAAGCATGGAAGGATCGCACTGACCTTGATGGTATTGTCGTTCGCTGGATGGATGACCGCCTCCTTCGCAAAGACAGCGTCCTCGCTCCATACTGGCGCAGTCGCGATTGGGGTAACCTTACGAATGCAAAGAAGTATGTCAATCTTCGCGCAGATGCCATCATGGCCAGCACGGATCTCGACGACAACATCTCGAGCTGGACACCTCTGGCTGTCAAAATCAGCGATCTGATGAACTTTGGCCCTGGAGGTGATGCCGTTGTGACAACTCGCTCCAAGGACTTTGCCAGCGACACTGAGGAGACTCTGCACGTCATGGCCGCTGACAATGGTACTTGGCCTAACGAGGAGGTGGTGTTTCTGCCTGTCGACGAGACATGATCAATTCCCTTCGCACTATCAAATGGCACATGATTTGTGAGTCTGCAAATGACTTTGGTGTGCCGAAGCATCAGACCGAGCAGAACATTCAGTCCCTGAAACTCATCCCACTTTGGGGTTTGGACTTCCTCACTCCCACCCACGGTCTCTTCCACAACAAGCTGGATTCAGAGGTTGACAATGTCACATCCGCTAGCGAGTTTGACATCAAGATGAATTTCATTCCAATTCTCACAGCATTAGTGAAGGGTGCCCGCGCTATCGATCTTTCCAAGGCTGACATTCACCGCGCCACTCGAGCTCTGGTCAACCTCAACACGTATTTCCAGGAATCGCGACACTGGTCTCAAGTATGGAACAGCGAGACTGTGAAACAGACTTGGCGCGATCTCTGGCTCACGCCAGATATGCCCAATGCGGTTCCCTCTCGTGAGTGGCTTGACACTGAACTCCCAACTCTCGCATCTCTCGACGTTGCCCTTGAATTATGGTATCGGTACCTCTTCATCTTCTCTATTCCGGTTCCCGACAAGATTCCTGGCGTCTTCCAGGCTTCTCATCACAGTGTCAGCGCTTCATACGGCGTTGTTTGCAAGATCAAGCGCAACTGCACGCTTCAAGTCTGGGACCACGCCATTGCCTGGAGAGAAACAAATCTGTGTCTCTCATCTGCCCTGTGCAAGCTTTCTCCGTTCGTTCGGAATGCTCTTCTTGGATTGATGCGCATCACTTCTGTTCTGACCTTACACCACGCGGACATCATCCTCCCTTGTGCCGATTTCTTCAACCCTGGTTGGGAAGTGGAGATTGGAACTTGCCAGGTACAATTGAGCATCGAAATACCTTCCGTCGCAAGATCGACCCAGTCGTCAACGGCATCACTGATATGCAGAAATTCGCCCCGGTGCAAGAGATCAAGTCAGAACGCCCGACCGTCACCATGCTTTCTCACGTTTGGTATGCGAAGGACATCAAGACCGCGCTGCTGGCTGCCGATATCATCATCAACCAGTGGAAGTTTGATGAGTATCACCTCGACATTTATGGTGCTATTGACAAGGCTCCAACCTATTCAACCGAGTGCCAGGAAATCATTGCTTCCAAGGGTCTCCGAGGCCGCGTCACCTTGCGAGGCACGGCTGATCCAATGAAGGTCCTGGAGAACACTTGGCTCTTCCTCAACTCATCCCTGTCAGAAGGTCTCCCTCTGGCATTGGGTGAAGCTGCCTTAACAGGCGCACCAGTTGTCTGCACGGATGTGGGCGCCTCGCTGCGCGTTCTTAGCGACCCTGATGACTTCTCACGATTCAGCGCAGTGGTTGCTCCTAACGATGCCCAAGCACTTGCAAAGGCTCAAATCTCCATGCTGGCTATGCTTGGAGAGTGGGGCAAATACAGTGAGGACACCGACGATGAGCCGCTGCCAGTTCTCACATCTTCGCCCACCCCCGAGGAAGTGGCCGCCATCACACGTCGCATGTACGCGAAGAGCGAACAGCGTCGCAAACTGGGCATGATGACTCGCAATATCGTCCAGAAATCATTCAGTGGCGATCGCTATCTCCGCGAACACGAGCAAATGCTCTGGATTGGAAAGTCTGCCAAAATGATGGCAAGTCGTGCAGCCGGCGACGCAATGGAACCCGCCGACATCGCGACAGCCGTTGAGCAAACCGCCACTGTCGAAGAAGAAGTCATCACCATTCCCCGGAATGCGGTTCACTCCTGGCGCTCCTCGACCATTTCGGGCATGTCAACTCTCTACAGTTCGGTATCAAATTACCCACTTCAAAGTTATCGGAACCGTCCCACCTCCGATATTTCTGCTCTCAGTCTGAGCAATGTCTCCACGGATACTGAGTCCTTCGCTCGACTCCCTGTTTTTGCGCCCCGGCGCTCTATGCTGTCGTACGATGGTACGCCGGGTAGTAGATCGCCGGCTGGAATGAGGTCGCCAAATTTGCGGGCCTCTTTGGCTGGACAGCGTCGGCCTCATTCTCATGCACGCTCTGTCTCGACTGCCGGCAGAGAACAGTTGCGTGGGTTGAACCGAGAGGATCTGCTCCAATACCGCAATTCGGATGTTAGCACCATCGTGAGAGAAGATTTCTTGCGATCTGGTATACATTTCAGTCACTGAACAGACTGTATATGAAGTTTCTCAAATACTGTATATTCCTTTGTTTTGTACTTAATGTTTATTTGTCAAGATATACTATTTCCTTTTTTTCTTTACTTGTTATTTGGTTGATGATATCCGAGTTTGTTTTATAGTACCAAAAAGCTAGTCATAATAGTGAACAAAAATCAACAAAATGAATTACTCTTAACTCAAACTTTTATATGGCTGGATAATATGTGAGGGATAGAGAGAGGAGGAGCAAATGTTCAAAGCAGAAGCGAGCCCGGGGGGGAGGTGTCAAGTTGGCGACATTAGGTGATGTTATAAGAGAGGGAGAATGAACTCAATAGTGGCCAAAGCATAGGTTAAGAATTTCAAACAAGTGTCAGTATGTTAATAAGACTCCGAATGGTCCTATGGTATTGGCCTTGATCATTCGGGGGAAAGAGCGAGGAGGCTTTGAAGAGACGCAATGAGACCGGTGCGTGCCTACCTTGTCTTTTTGCTTTTTTCAAGCTGAAGTCAAAACCAGGCCAGGGCATTTATTTGGTTTGTTTCTTTTTCCTCTTTCCCTTTTTGTTCTGTTTGTTGTTGCCCTTCTATAACTATACCTGGTCATCGTGCCTGCCTAATATCCGTTTGCCGTCTCCACTTTTCCGGACGTAGATCACTGGGTCCGGTTGCCGGTATAGATCGCCGTAGATAGTACTACGAGTAGACCAACAAAAAACGTATAAGTGATAGCAATTCAAAGCACCTCATTATTTCTTAGATACATGAAATGGGTCGGCTTCAAGCCTAGGCCTTGAGCTATCCGCATCCCAATCCAACTCTGCCATGAGCTCAAAACGGCCCGCCTCGGTACTCCGATCTTTAAGGCAAGGTGTTGAGTCTGCTTCTACAGGACTCTCCATTGTGAGTTGCTCAACAAATCGAGAAGGCTTTTTGCTTCTCTCTCCCGCTGCAAGCACTAATTCCGTGCGGTCTCCTCGGACAGAACCAAGTTCAGGCTCCTCACTTTGGCATTCTTGTCCCGGAAATCGCCAGTAGCATAGCAGAAGACCAAGAGAAAAGCCCTGGAAGAAAATAAACACCACTATTTGCCGAGCAGTTTTCCCAGGTCCAGTCACATTGTCACTGAAATTGACAGTTGATCCTTGAAGGAAGGCGAGGATATCCCAAATAAACCAAAGAAAGTTAAGGCCAAGGAAACAGCCGCTCGCAGCAACAAAAAGGAATGTCGACATCTGATGACCCAATGTTAGCAAATTAAGAAAGTTCAGCTATACAACCTTATACCAGAAGATTTGAAAGCTTCAGCGCATACCTTGAACTTTATATAAGATGGATCGCGCGATGTCATGAGGCCGAGGAAGATAGTCCAACCTGCAATCTCCCAGGCACTTACCCAGAATACAACCCAACGTACACTATCGATCTTTTCCCAAATATCCATTTGGTGTGCATAGCTGGACTTCTCCTTCACTCCGGAGTCAATAGCGGCGACGTAGTAGCCCCAGTCAACAATGCATAGTAACACGAAGAGACCCACAATCCCCCAATGCACACATTTAAAGACCGACAAAGTTTTAGTGCTGATTTTCGTGACACACTCAGCAAAAACATGAATAATTGCATAAAATACATAGAAAATCAAGCAATATGAAGCGAAAGAGCAGAATTCGCCAATTAACTGCGCAACGTTGTAAGTCTGTTTGGCGTAGTGGGCTCGAAAGGAGACGGAGTTATAGGCGAATGCATTGGCTTGAGATCTAATATTCAGAGCACAGCAATTAGCTAGTATACTAATTCTATTAATTCTTTGGGGCCCCGAAGAGGCTTACCCTGCCATGAAGAACATAGCTGCCAGTGTGGTTGTCACAGGCATGGGCTTCAGTGCATCTCTTCTTGATCTCTTCAAGATACAAATCCCAACAGACACAATGAGCAATCCCGCGAGGAGCAGGAGCATGAAAAATGACTGTACAATAAGCAATGTTCTCTGTGCGGGTGGGGTATAGACCCAGACATTGGAATTCCAGGATGCTTTGCCAGATCCTTGAGACGGCATTCTCTGCGTCATGTCAGGCTAATTAGAGAGAATGTCTCGTCGACGGCAAATAGGAAACCAGGATAAGAAAAAAAAGAGAAAGAGAAAGAAAGGAAACAATCCAAGTCTTCATGACATGCGAAAGAAGCAATGCAGCCTCGTACGAGTATTTAGCATCTCCGACCGACGGTGGGTAAGGCGCCCCAGGCGCGCGAAGCTTAACTAGCCAGCCTCGGCATCGGAGATGATCCTTCGATGATCTTTTCTTAGAAAAGCGTCTTAATCCACAAAAAATGGCACAAGTTAACCACTCTGGATATCTTCATTGCTGCCAGGCCTGTCTCTGGCACTCTTCAAGTTCTGCTGGACCCTCCTTTGTGACTAGACTATGATCATGATTGGTCATGACCCCGAACCTGAACCCGAGCCTCGTGCAGAAGGGCGACTACATACACTATCGCCAGGCCTACCACAAACTACTACTACAGTATAGACACTCGTATCCACAAATAGTAAGCAATTTAATTGGCTAAAAGTACTAGTATTCGCAATTGGCTCTTTGAGATATGTTCTCGAAAACCAGACTAAACTCATAAAAGCAAGATCAAAGCAATATACTACACATTTTTGATCTCAAGATACCTAAACTACCTAAGACAGATTTACATGAATGTCCCATCAGAGCCAGTTCACGCACCGCGCCCAGTCCAGGCTGTCTACCTTGATACCTATCACGACGGCTGCTGTGAATGCTGCCCGGGGACTGAGCAGCCTCCGCAATAGGTTCGCAAGATAGAACAGGGCCCCGAATCGAACACGGGCGCCGCGACAGATGTCACGATGGACTAACAAGTAGTCCAGGGCTGGTGCACGAAGCACGTGGAAAATGGTATTTGATATATCGCATCCGATACAGAGCTTATTCACTTCCGAGAAAGGAATTTCAAGGCATGAATCTCGCCTTGCGCTCCACCTTACAGCGCGAATGGGTGTTTCGGTTCCTAATATGACAGAATAGCGCCCCAGAGGAGCAAGTAAGTAGGTTAAGTGGGAATAATAGAATAGAACAGACGTCATTAATGAGCATTGGTATCATCTATATCCCGATCAGGTAAAGATCCGGGTTCGCTTGACCGGGCTGCCCATGCGCAGAGACCCAGCCCCGCTCGCCATTCCGTTCAAGAGTCGGCCCATTCCCTCCACATCGAGCTCGCCTCGTTGCAGCATCATCTGATCGGATTCCGCGACGACTTCCTGCTTCGCGGCCTGCGCTGTGGTGTTCTCGTCCGACTCGACCAGTCGAGGTGCAAGGATCATAATCTGATGCTCAGCAGCAACGAGAACGTCGAAGGTCTGTCGCTCCGCCGCCCGGGAAAGACGTGCCGGGGCTGGGAGGTGGCCGATTGCCTGGAAATTCTCGCCCATCAAGTTGACGTCTTGGAATGGTGTCACTCGGCATCGGTTGGATGCGTCAAAGGTGCCGCTGGCCCGCACGGCATTGCGCCAGAGAGAAATCAAACTTGGGATGGCGGCACTGTGGTTACCGTGACGAAGGAGAATTGATTCGTCTGGGAGACCTTCTTGCGATGAGGTAATTTGGCAAACGGAGATTTCACCGCGGAGTGAAGGGCTCGCGGCGGTCATAGAGCCCTTAAGAAGCGTATCCTCGCGCACTCGCTTGGTGGACGGCGTCATTGGCGCGAACCTGGGTCGTTGTTGCTCCGCATCCGATTGTGTGTTGGACAGCGGTGCCACGATACGACCACTAACTGCGTAGGTGGTCAGCGAACCACCAGTTACGCCTTGTACGCTCGACTGTCGGTGCAAAGGGCCCTTCATGGTACCAGGCCCAGCACCTTCGATATCCCAAACGCCCCATTCGCCGTCCGCGAGCAGTACCATAACAGCTCGTCCACCCAGAACCCAATTCGCATCAATAATGGTCTTGCGACGGGGAATACCTGCAGAGCCGTGCTCAAATCCGGGGTAGAGACTGATGAGCCATCGACCCTCTGTGTCGATACTTTCGTAGTCCTCGTTCGCGCTAGACGAGCGGCGCGATGACTTTGAGGGCTTCGGGGCAGAGAAGCAAGAATAGATCTTGACGCAGCCACTGTGAAAAGCCACCAAGATATTTGAGTGACGAGCCGAAGGGTATGAAGAAGGATTGAAAGCAATCTTTTGAGCTGGTGATGGCAAGGCCCGTCGTTGAGTGACAATATCTTCCTCAATTAGTCGATGTTGGATATCTTTGTTAGATGAGTCTTCTCGAATAGGAATCCGATTTAGTAGGAGGGCGCCAGATCCCTCGGCGGAGTGTGTGGCAACCAGAAGATCCCACTCCCCTGACGGTGTCGCCCGGCTGCGTGATTTGCGACGATCATGTTCCTCCTCGAGTTCCCGGCAGGTAAATGCAAGGGATACACCGCGTGGAATATCTTGGTGAGTCACACCTCCATTAACAGTGAAACTCTGGACGCTCCAGCTCGCCATATCGGTCTGTTCGGGGTGAGGCGGGGTGAGCGGGAACGCGACGACCCGCGTTGAAAGATCGGAGCAAACAGCTGCAACAACAATCATATTCTTCACAATGGGTGGGAATGGATCAAGTGGCGAGCGCGCTTCTTCGGGTTGAACACCAGGGACTGCAATGTCAAGCACTCGGCTGCCCAAGGGGATATCGATCTGGCGTAGGATGGCCTCAAAAGGGAAGGAAGGGTTGACTTCGGATTCTTCGGTGCTGAAATCATAGCTGGGCTTTTCTTGAGATGTGGACACTTCTGGCGCATCTTCCTCATCAGAGTCAATGATCATGACCGAATCTCCTCCATTGTTTCCAGAGCTTTTTTCTTGCACCGAGGGCTCAGGCCGTTTCAATTCGGAGAATTGTCTGCCGCCTCTCCAAATGACTTTCAACCCAGTTTCATATCCATAAATGATGATCGAAGAGCCGTTCCGAGCTCGAATGGGATAGGCTTTAGCTGCGTGGACACGATGGGGAAGTCGATAGCTAAGAATTTGCAGAACAGATCGCATTAGTCACAGAACTTGATCGCCAGCCACTAGGTAGATAAATCATTTACCTGAGCTGCAAGCCATCTTCTCGAGATCGAGCTAGAGGAGTAGTAGGAAAAGAGGGCATTGCGCCGGTAGCAACGCTGACAGGGTGCTGAGCTTCAAGCACAGGCGCCGAATGGCACCGCAGGGATGATGAGCAGGCTCAATCTCAAGATACCAAGTCCGTGAATCGCGTGGACAAGGTCCAGGTTGAAATCGAGGGAGAAGTGTGTGTTTGTGTCGTAGTGGTGGGGGTTGTGGTGGTGGTTGAGAGGGGAGGAAGTTGTTGTGGTCGGCAGCTTTGCAAAGAAGTTGGAGTTGCCAATGCCAATGCCGATCCAATGCCGCCCGCGTTCTGCGCGTCTGCGTCTCCCACTCCGACCAGATCCCGCAACCAAACATTGAACGACATCAACACTCGACATGCTATCCGGGCGGAGAACACTCGACTGAAGCTCTGAAAGGGTCTTGGCCATGGAAATATTTACTCCAGCAGGTCGAGCCGTCGGTAGATTATTTGTGACGGCGCTTTACGATCATTACTGCGACTACTAAACAACCACAACCCACCATGGCGTCCGTTCGCTCACTCGGCCTTCACAAACCCTCGGCCGTCTCCTTTTTTGGTTACCGAGGGACTCCTTCCTCCCGATCCTTCTGAGGATCAGTATCAATGGACAACATGTGTGGACGCAAATGGATTGACTGGACCCGTGGACGACGAGTTGGTGTGGACATCGCATTGTGTGGTATGGACTCGCGCAGGGATGGTGAAGAGAATTTTCCGATTGGATCCTGAGAAAGAGGAGATTCGCCATGCTCTATTCACCCAGTTTGCGGAGGGCCATGTTAAACGCTCTGTTCACGAAGGTCCAGGCAGTACAAAGCCTCCCACGATTAGCGCCAGGCCGAATGCTCGGGGAGCCAAACAATCTGAAAGGCAAGCCGCTGAAACCACGCGAACAAATCCAGGTCCAACATTAAATCTCCATGGGGAGGAACAAACGGCAGTGGTGGCTCCCCAGCGCGTCCATGAGAAACTATCACGAGCTCTGGTGGTCGTTCTCAAGTCACAAGCCCACATCTTTTTCGTTGCTGGAAACAGCCATACAATTCCTCTCCCTTTCGAGGTTCAGTCTGTATTTGCTACACCTCAAGGCCTTCTTTTCCAGAGGAAAATTCCGGACGATGATGGGGGTCGCCAACAGCCAACTGCGCCTCCCAACTCTTTCCTAGCTTCTTCGTTGTTCGATCCTCGTGCTTCGCAATCGCAAGATACACCGCTATCACACAGCAGGGGAGACGTCAATCATCAAAGCGTTCTGCTCTCCATGGTTCATCATGGATTCCGAAGTCAACCTCAACCACTGACATTCCTCGGGTCTTCTCACTCATCGATCCTCATTCGGAAATGGGGTTAGTTGTGACATCACAAAACACACGATGGAAACAGAGTAGCATCAGCAGTGCCAAGCGAAGACCTTCTGGGCTGGATGTACTTGATCCTGCCGATGAGATAATCTACATTTCACCCCAAGATGAGCTTTCTGGATCAGGCCAGGTATCTATCGGCGCCCCTCTAATTCTGGTTGTCACCATAAATACAACCACAGGACTTTACACGGTGTGGACTGCGCGCTACAGGGATGATGAACCTGGTGGTTCGATCAAAGAGAAGACTCGCCGACACACAGAGGGTACTCAATCCAAGAGGCGCAGTTCGCACTTTGGAATGGCAACCGGTGCAACAACCCCAGCTGCACGACCCTCGATCCGAGAAAGCTTTGGACCCTGGACCGATAACAAAAACGGTTCCCAGTCTAGGGAGGGGAAGAGTGACCCCGAAGATGACCTGGCCTCTAGAGTCGCTCAGGATTTTGGCGATGTCGGTGTGCCTTTGAAGACATCAAGGCGAGTCAGCTCACTGCTTGCCCGGACAGATCTTGCTACCAGTCAAGATCGCATCACATTCTCCGACCTTGCGACGGGCAGTCAGTCCAATGCCTTACCCCATGGTAGCTTGCGGCAATCGATAGGCGCTGGTAGCACTCGGGGCAGTTTTGGTTTCAATCCTCGTGGCTCATTGCCTCCCACGTCTGGATCTGTTTATAGCGCTGCCGGCAGTGTTGCGGATGCACCCGTCGACAGGCTACTAGAAGAGCTCAACAATGATGTTTTGTCCGAAGGATTCGAGAATATTGCTCTTCGCGAATCAGCATCGGGCCTTCCAGAAGAACTTTTACTCGCAAAAGTCGAGAGCTTCTCTTCAAAGTTTTCGGGCAACTTCAGAGCTTCTGCTTCTGCTTCACAGGCCCAGCATTTAAAGGTCTGCACCTTGGCTTCATCTGATTATAGCAGCACGCGTAACGGAAATGCAGTCTCAGTGGCCGTTTGTATCCTGGATCACGACTCTCGGAACATGGCAATTGTGAACCTGAGAGCGGAAAGAGTCGCTGCATCAAAAAATCGAATGGGAAAGAAAGCCAGCACCCGAGACAAGCGCCCATTGTTAGTTCATGCAACAGGCATCCAGCATGCTCCAAATATTTGGGATACGTGCCGAGTCACAGACGGTGGAATTTCACGTATTCTAACACTGTCTGTTACTGAGAATGGAAAGCGTGAGTTGTCTCTACAAACGCTCTGGGGTAGCCCAACAAAAATCGAAGTTCCGGTTCCTTTACAGCTTCACGAGCCGCATGGGATTTCTGCCAACGAACTCGTCACTCGCCCAAGGGATAGTGGTGTCAACCGTGTCATGGCAGACCCGAATCTTGTTTTTGAGTCATTTGATCATGGCTGTTCAAAGGGAAAGATTGATCTGGTTGATACTGAGAATCAACGGCACAGGCTGCAAATCCTCATGGAGCCTCGCAATGATCTCGTGAAAAGGGTCCTAAGGGTTTGCAAGTTTGTGCTTCGTGAATCCGAGAAAGCAGGTGACGGCATGTTGGTAGCCTGGTGGGAAGTCATGAAATGGCTGCGAGGAAAAGAGGAAATCGAGAACGATCTTGAGTTCACCGCGTTGGTGGTTGTTCTATTCTCTTTGGCTGTCCCCTTCATCAAACAGCCCCCGCTCCAAACTCCAGCGAAACGAACTCGCCGAAAGAAGGGTCTTCTCAGATCAAGCAGTGGCGGCTACGTGGACTTGGAAAGCTGGGAGACTATGCTCGATTTAGAGTCTGGCGCATGTGGCTCCACCGCGCCCTGGATGTCAGGCAGTGCCTGGGGTTGGATTGTGGAACAAGATGCAATTGAGGATCTTGCTATCCGCGACGTACAACGAACACCTAAAATGGATCAACCCGCCGCAAGTCGTTCCACATATCGCCACAATTCTTATGTGACTAGATGCACATCGCTATGTCGTGAATTTCTCCAAACTCCCCAGGGCTCTAGGGCGTTTGGTTCAGAGGGCTACTTGCCTATCTCTGGTTCCTTCCCCGAAAGCACTAGATGCACTGCCTTGGGTACTATCCTCGTGGGCCTCCACCTGTTCCGAGAGGAGCAGAAGCTTTCCACTTGTGATACTGAGGAATCCCAACATCCTCTGGGACTGCTCGCCCCAATCCTCGCTCAGCTTGGTGGCTGGCTCGGTTGGGAATCCTGGGGTTGGAACGAAGACGCCTACTATGGCACTGAGATGGCTAGCATGGAGCGTTGGAACTTTGAAGATACTCGAATCTCACTGCTCAATGTTCCCGCAGAGCCCTTTACTCCTCCGTCAATTTTTGCTTTCCTCATGGACGCTGCACGCCAAGTTTCCACTCCATTCCTTACTCTTCTGGATATCGTCAGTGCCTCGGACAGAGCCCCTAGGAAAGGGCGGATGTGGCAAGAATGCTTCCACATCACACCAAGAACATTGGCACTGAATGGCTTTCTCTCTGACATTCACAATGTGTCGACCCACCTAGAAAAGACCAAGCTTCTTCATCGCTGGGGTTTAACTAAGAGCATCATTGATACTTTCCCTGAGGGTGTCGGGGCGCCGTTATACGAAGCAGTGATGCAATGCCAGATCGAGGCTTCGACATCTTGGAGTTCCATTTTGCTGGAGCTTATCGATCGAGAGGACCTCTATATGTCAATGAATCCTGTTCAAGCTCCTTCGTTTGCATCGCCACAACAGCCTATGGTGTCTCATGATGCACTCCGTGATTTCCATAACATCAGCACTTCGGCCTTAGAGCTTGATACCATCAATGCTTTTGAAGCTTCTGCCGAGGCTGATCGTTTCTCTGTTACTCGTTTGGTTTTCAGGGAAGACAAACGCTTCCTAGAGGCTGCTCGTCTTCTCAATCAATCCAAGGCACCCGTTGCAGATTGCGTGCCCGAGGCTGATTGGACAGACTCCGATTTGCTCGAGGCGCAAAAAGAGATCGTCCAGCTTGTGTCGTTCCGGACACTTTCCACTCCTGCTGGCCGCGCCATGATCTCCTTCAGCGGACGTTTACCACTGTTAACGGAGAAGCTGCCGATCCCATCTTTCTCTTTGCAATGTGTCATGAAGCCATCGAATGTGACTGTTTCTGCTGAGAGGTCTGCATTTACGGAGGAAAAGGTTTGCTGGGCTTTCTTCCATAATGGAGTGTCCACAGGTCTTGCGATTTCCAAGGCATCTAAGGGAATCGATACCTCCTGGATCTTGTTCAATAAGCCGCAGGACCTTACGAACCGCCACGCTGGGTTCCTGTTAGCTTTGGGTCTGAATGGGCATTTGAAGTCACTAGCCAAATGGGTGGCCTTCAAGTATCTGACACCCAAGCACACGATGACATCCATTGGCTTATTGCTTGGTCTTTCCGCATCATATCTAGGCACAATGGATACGCTCATCACGCGTCTACTCTCTGTCCACGTTACCAGGATGTTACCTCTTGGAGCAGCAGAACTCAATCTCTCCTCTCTGACTCAAACAGCCGGTATTATGGGTATTGGCCTGCTTTATTGTGGCTCACAGCATCGACGCATGAGTGAAGTTATGCTGTCGGAGATCGAAAACATTGAACAAGAAGAACAATCTGCTTCGCAAGAAGATTTGCGAGACGAAGGTTACCGCTTAGCTGCCGGTTTCGCTCTGGGACTCATTAATTTGGGCAAGGGCAAAGACCTTCGAGGAATGCGAGATATGCACATCGTCGAACGCTTGCTGGCCATTGCCGTTGGCACCAAAAATGTTGATCTGGCTCATGTTCTTGATCGGGGTACTGCGGGCGCCACAATTGCTCTTACCATCATCTTCATGAAAACCAACGATGCAGTGCTGGCCAAGAAGGTCGACATTCCCGACACCACCGTACGCTTTGATTATGTCCGACCTGATCTCTTCCTTCTGCGTACATTGGCGAGACATCTCATCATGTGGGATAGCATCTCGCCTAGTATGACATGGATCAAGGAGAGTCTGCCAAAGATCTACCGTCGACGATCCCGTCTTACTGGCATCAATCAGCTTCAGAGTGAAGACATGCCGTTCTTCAACATTCTCGCTGGTCTTTGCTTTGCTCTCGGCCTTCGCTACGCTGGATCTGGTAATACACAGGCAAGGGATCTACTGCTGTTCTACCTAGATCAGTTCATCCGCATCTCGCGACTCCAGGTAACAAACTACGATGCCAAGCTCGCCCGAAACTCAGTTAGGAACTGTCAAGACGTCGTGGCTCTATCCGCGGCCGCGGTCATGGCTGGCACCGGTGATTTGGCACTATTCCGACGCCTGCGCTCACTTCACGGTCGAATCGATCCTGATACGCCTTATGGCAGTCACATGGCAGCCCATATGGCAATCGGCATGCTCTTCCTTGGTGGAGGTAGCCATACACTCGGCACATCCAACCTTGCAGTGACATCCCTTCTCTGCGCTTTCTACCCCATCTTCCCAACGACCGTCCTCGACAACAAATGCCACTTACAAGCTTTCCGTCACCTCTGGGTCCTAGCCGCAGAACCGCGCTGCCTCGTCCCGCGCGACCTCGATACCCGCCGTCCAATCTCCATCCCCATCACAATCTCCTACCACGTCGGCGACACCCACACCATCACCGCCCCATGCCTCCTCCCAGACCCAAGCGGTATCACACGAATCGAAGTCCGCGGTCCAGACCACTGGCCTCTCATCCTAGACTTCAGCCAAGACGACGCCCTCCGCAATAAATTCCGCCACGGCGATCCATCCGTCTACCTCCGCCGCAAAGCAACCTACAGCCCATCCGGCGCCCCAACCTCCATATTCGCCTCAACCCTCACAGGCCTCAGCGAAGCCCAAGACATCCTCCCCACAGCCGCAGCCACAGTCTCAACCTCAGCCAAGGGCCTCCCACCATCCGCCCAACTCGGCCGCGAGTCCTTACTTTCCGGCTCCCTCTCCCTCGCAGCAACCCCATCCCAATCACCATGGGACTGGATCTTCCAACTCCCCTCTCTCCAAGGCCTAGATATTCGCGAACGCTCCCTCGTCCTCCCATCTTCCTTCCCAGCCCCCTCCCCGCGTATCTCCACACAAACCGTCACTGCGCCCCCTTGGCTTCGCACTTCGGCCGTTGACGCAAGACTCGCGCTTTCGCATACGGTGCGGAATGTCATTCAATCTGCTCGTGGTCGGGGCGCGGACCCGGACCAAGTTCGCGATAGAATTTGGCAACTGCGTCTCATGTTCGATTGGCTTGAGCGCGTCAATTCGGGTGACGAGTCGAACAGCTTGACTGCGCAGGGCGCGTCCCCGTCCCAGTCCCAGTCTTCTGGATTGTGGTTGCGGAGGGACTTTGTTGAGGAGGCCAAGTGGCGGATTTGGGGTGTGCAGGCAGATGATCAGGAACAGAGTTAGTGGGTCGGTGTGATGGGGTGTGGAGTATTGTTTAGCAGTTTTCTTTTTCTTTTTTATGTGTGTGTGCCTATTTTCCTTGACGGTCTCCTGCATGTGGTCGGTGTTCGTTCTATCGTGTATACTTGAGCGAGTGGGTATTCCTGTACTAGTACGATATGATATCCATGGTATGACAATGCATGCATTTTGAATCTTATACTAGTGGTACGAGTAGCTACACCTGGGCCGCTGGGTTCAAGTTCAAGTTTATTTCCAGTAACCAAGTCCCGATCGACCCACTTAATTCCAGTCAGTTTATATAGAGAACCCTGCGAGTAGCTGGGTAGACCCATTTTCGGAGCAAGGTAAGGTAGCCCGTGTTCGGTCGGCACTCTCAGATAAGAGAACTCCAGATAACAAACCACAACCACAAAAGGCAAGTTACCCTTTTTCCAATGTCTGGAACGCGGCCCGAAAGTCTCTTCGGAACAAATAAAAGCTATGACCATGGGGCACGAACCTTGGAAGTATGGACGAGATGTGGCACCTGGACATGGGCATGTGCATATCAAATTTTTCTTGCAAGCTCGACAGACCCACTGTGTATCCACAAGCCTAATTCAAAATTCGTTTTACGCGTTTACCCTAAGCTAAAGGAGGGTCTGTACACCGTAGAATGAGGAATCTGTCCTGGGGTGAGTCAGAGGAAATCGTAAGAGCTTGCCTGCCAGGTTTGGCGATGAATACACGTGGTGAAGACATGGAGGGCCCGAGCCCCAGCCGGGCGCGATCGCGATCATGCTATTTTTGTGTAAGGGTACGTGTAGGGATGAATAAGAATCTTCCAGGGGTGTTCTAGATTAATATGAGTATCGTATCATCTTCAAATATAGAATGGTCATGCATTCGGAATATAGATAGGGTATTAGGTGCTTATTTTAGAAAGAGGAAAGTAAGGCGAGTTCCATGGCAGCCACAATCAGCCAGAGCCCCTATCGTACGGGCCAGGGTAGGGTCCAAGCACCCCAGTCAGTCTTGCCACAGCACCGCGTGATCGAAATGATAAACGAAAAAGGGACTCTCCTATCCGCGGAGATTCTGGTCGATGGGTCTCGACCTGTCAGGGAAGCTGAAGGAGAAAAAAATAACTCATAGAAACCTCTGATAGGCTAGCCGGTTTCGTGGATGGAGTCAAGCTCAAGATATCAAGGAAATTTTTCATTGATCGGGTGATTGTGAATCGGGAGATCGGCATGGACTGGGTGGCAAAATGCAGGATTTGCGCAGGTTTGCCGGGCAGGGGAGGGCAAGCTAGCAGAGAGCTACGCGGTACGGGAACGGCCTGGGCTGGGCTGGGTCGGGTCTGCGAGTGGGTTCGGGTTCCCGGCACACGGGTTTGGTTTGTTTTCGGTATGGCCGTCCCATGACCGTCTGAAAAAAAGCGCAAAAAAGCTAACCACTTCTATACTAGGCAAGGAATTGAGAATAGGATATAAACGTGTTCAATGTCCTGCTAATTCGAGTATCATCAATTCAATCCAATTCACTTCACTCCTCCTCACTTCACTTCACTTCACTCAAATACCAACTCTCGGTATATACCAACCAACCCAACCAAACCACCCAACCACCCTCCACAAATCAAAATGGTTGCTTGTCCCTACATCGGCAATGGCCCCTACGGCACCAGCCCTCGCTCCGCCGCCTCCAGCACCAGCAACGTCACCGGCGCTAAGCTCGACGCTGAGCAAATCGAGAGCATCTTCCAGGACATGAACAAGTCCCAGGAGTCTGTCCCTGCTGGATCTTCCTCCTCCCGCCGCTTCTCTTGGTTCTCTCGCCAGTACGTTCAAGCTTTACTTCCAGTTCACTTTATTTTTGATTTGAACATTCGCTAATTCATACCTCAGGACCAAGAAGCTCAACCGTCGCAACTCGGAGAAGCCTGCTTCCAAGTAAAAAGGCCTGGCCTTGACTATACTTGGAGACTGGGCTGGACTAGTCTAGTCCACTCAAACACACAAACTAGCCTGAGATGGCGAACGAAGATGCTGGGATGCTGGGCATTTGGGCTATAATTTTTTAACGACTTAATTCATGGGAATACGGAATATATAATATAATAGAAAAAATATCATAAAATATTTTATAATAATTCTTCTTACTCGAGTTCTTTCTGTGGTGTTCGTTTAATGCTTTTTTGGTCACCCTGGCTAACTAGTACATTGAATAACTGTAATCCTCACTACTCCTCCAAGGGCGGTTGAATCAGCTGTCATAGGACAAAATAGAACCCATCGCGCCCGGCGGACATTAACTTTTCATTTTTATATTTTCGATTTAGTATACTAGTAGTTAACGCCTGGTTCGTGCGAGGAGCTTGAACTTGAAGTGGGTCCACCCTCCACCTAGGCGACCCCTAGGCAGGGCTTGGATAGATAGAGATAAAGTGGAACGGGCTTCAAAGTTAGCGCGACGGGAATTTTCCAGACTAGCTGCAGTAGTACCCCCAAAATTACGGCTCAGCTCCCATCATTTCGTCGCTTATACCATCATATTGAGAACTAAATATGGGAGTAGACAATTTCAATCACTTCCTATTGGCGCAGAGCATCAAATACGTATAAGCACTTCAGTTGTATATGCAGTCATCATGTATGGATCCTAAAATGGAATGAGACGTACATGCACCGTGACCGTGACCTAGGCATACGTGTACATCTACTGTGGCCGGGCCCAAGACGTCAGGCTCCTAGTTATTCAGATTGGGAGGTATATTTCTAAGTATCTCTAGCTTGAACTTGAAGTACTAGTATTTCCAAGGTTCTAGGGTTCAGGAAACCATGACAGTGCTGGAAGTAAATAGCGACACATTTCTCTAAAATAAGTAGTAGATGGTTTTTGAATTCAAGTTCAAATTGAACAGAGTCGGTTTTAATATTACCTCTAGTAACGATATTGCTGATATCTGGAATGATATATTTTTGGTGTTAACTTCAAGTTGTAAACCCAGAGTTGAAATATGTCATGAATCTATGTATAAAAGCCACGCTTCGATGCAAATTCGACCAAACCAGAAAAATCAAGAATATTTCGACGCACAAAATCCCAAGAGGCCCCAGGGTTACTAGTAACACAATCACGTCGATCGATGTTGACCCTCTCTCAACAAACCCCTGTCACCAGCACCACCCTTTTGCCACAACCAAACACCCTCAACAGCCCAAGCAGTCGCACTAGCATGTCGTCCAATACCCGACGCAACTGGCGGACCAGCATCATTTTCTCCATCCTTCTTTCCCCCATCATCAGTCTTAATTTTACCCAACTTCGAGCTCGAGTCCGCCCCACCATCCGCCTCAGTCAACATCCCCGCAACAACACCCTCTTTCTCAATACAGAACCACAACCCCTCAGATAACTGTCCACCCCGTTCTCCAAACTCAGCTTTACCCAGCCTATACAAAATCCGACCAAGAACTTGCCACGCAACACACCGCTGCGCAGGGAAAGTCGAACGTGATAGAATCGCCAGCTCGGGAATCGTGTAGCCCGCAGCTTGCGGGTCGTCACCGTGGTGATGCAGGCCCAGGTTTGTCGGGAGGGAGAGGGACGTTTCCGGCGCGAGGATGGTTCCGCGGAGCGAGAAGCGGATTGCGGAGGGGGCCATTGAGATGGCATTGCTGGCGGGGTGGTAGGCGGATGTGGAATCGGGATCTTCTTCTGAGGATGAGGGGGGTTGGAGCCAGGAGAGGGATGAGGGGTCGTGGGTGATTTCGGGGAAGTAGTGGGTTTTTAAATCTTCGAGGAAATTGGGCGATGATGGGTCGAGTGTTGGCATTGGTTGTGTTGGTTGGGGGAAGTGGAAGCGTTCGATGGTTGATGGGTCCATGTTAGGATACTCTGAGGCCGGGTGGAGGTCCTTTGGAACGTTGGTTGGGGGGAGGTCGTCGTGCCCTGGTGGCGGCTTCGGTGTAGACTGGGTAGAGGCAGGTATGGGGTTGGTGGTTGGTGGTTTCTTGGGTGTTGCTTCCTTGGCCGTGGGTGGGATATCGAAGGAGACCGATTTCTTGGATTGGGAGGGTAATTCTTTCTCGTCCTTCGCTTCTTCCGGCTTTGCGGGGGTTGATGAAGGAGTGCTGTCGCTAGTCTTTTCATCTTCGTCGATCTTTGCACGACGCAAGAAACGTTCTAGGAGTCCAGGGTCCAGCGATGCCATCAGCTCTTCCCGCTCTTTCTCGATCTGCGCCTCTGACATGGACGCCAGATGGCGGGTGTTTTCCTCCCCGATGGACTTCTTGTCATCCTGTATAGTGGGCGGGGTAGATTTTGCAAGATCTTCTTTCGGAGGAACAGTAGGGGTGGCTTGCTCAGCACGTCGCTGCTTGAACGACGAGGGTTTGTTGCGGCGACGGTGGGCGGGGAACCCAGTCGAAGAAGCGGTGGGCGTCGGTGCGGGCGGGGTGGCGGTGGTGGGAGCTCTCTCGCGGATTTCACCGATCAAGTCAAATGGCGAGGCAGGAGGGTTGGAAGGGATATTGATATCGCCCTCGAGGTCGAGAGCGAAACGCTCGCCGGGGGAAAGCCATGATGGGATGCAAAGAGGAAAAAAAAGAAGTTATGTTATGTCAGGGCGGGGCCTGCGGCTCAACCCTTCCATAAACTAAAATTGGGGTATGCATGCATGACGCTAACCAGAACGGGTTAGCTCTGGCGACGGATATGCTAGGCTCAAAAAGGAACCCTGCGTAACCATTGCAAGTCTGGGGAGTTCACCAGCTTGACCAAGTCCTGCGTATTATTCACTAGGGATCTACACAGACAGTAACAAATGATATTTGTGTTAACCGGGGACTCAATTGGTATTCAATAGATCCCCCTCTTTTCTCTGCCTCGCCTTCTCACCCATCGTCACCATCCCTATACTTCTCACGCTTGTTGATGCCCAACATCTTATCCGATTATACTGCAGATGCGATCGATCTCCAGTTCTAAGACTAGATAGAGTCACGCAGCAACCACAGTAATGTCCAAATCGGAAGAGAGAAAATCCCGATCCAGGAGGACCCCGTTGAAAGTATACTGGAAGGTCGGGTCCCCAGATCTCGTACTGGGATCATCGACGCAACAGGCGTCTAGACCTAAGAGGGTTGCGGAGCCGAAGTATACGCGGGAAAATGATGGACCACCTCCACTAACGCCAGATCCGCGCCTATCGAAGAGAGGAATTGCATCGAATGACTTCATGAAGAGTTGAATATTACTTGAAAGTATAGGTTTCATGTGGTCAGAGATCTCTCACTATGAACTCGAAACTAGCTACCATCGGAACTATTTGATACCACGCTTAGATACTCTTTTTCCCAAGCGCGTGTGCCCTGGTTAACTGTAAATTCGAGCACATCCAAACTGCTCCTTGATCGCTTTTCCCCTTTCCTACCCTTTTTTTTCCTTTTCGCCCTTTCCCGCCCTTTTCTTTCTCTTTTCTTCTCTTATCCCTCTCCTCTTTCTTTTCTTCCCTTCTTTCTTCTCTGATGTCCTTTTCTCTTCTTTCCTATCCACCACCACCATCAGTTTTGATGTTCTTGTTTCATTAATCTAATTCCCCGACACTATCTTCTCCCCCCCAAACATTTGTGGTTTTATTCATCCAATCTGGTGTTCCATTCCCACACCCATTCATCCACCTCCCACCTTATTCCCCCCCCAATTTCTCTACACCTCGCCCCGACCGTGTCGACCTGAATCCACCACGTCCAACATCCATCTCCACCTTCAACGTTCAACACCATCCTCTCTATCATTTATTCACCTTTCACCATCAGTGATTTTACGCCAATTCGTCATTTTCCACAGCCATGGCCACGGAAACTCCTGGGACGGGTGTCCCGAAAGAAGAAGCCCCGCCCGTCGAAGACACCAAGGCCGAAGGGCTGAACACCCGACGTGCCTCCACCACTAGGCGGTCGCGTCGAAAGAAGGATGAAGAGACAGCCAACACCCCGGATACAAAGACCAAAAAGGAAAAGGAAAAGGAAACAAAGGAAAAAGAAAAGCCTACTCGCGCCCCTCGTCGTCCACGCGAAAAGTCCACGACCACCGCGGCAGCGCGCAAGAAGGCGAAATTGGAGCAACCGGATGAAGGCACGGGGGCTGGTGCAGCTGGTGCAGCTACTTCCACTGCAAACCCCCAGACCCCATCACAGAAGGCTGCTGCTGCTCCCTCCCCTCAACCTGCACCTGTTTCCACTCCATCAATTTCCACTCCAGCTCCAACTCCAATTCCCGCACCGTCTCAAGCTCCTACACCTGTACCTGTACCAGTAGCTGCACCTGCACCCGCTCCCTCACCCGCACCCGCAGCCACGCCAACACCCGCGGTGTCTGCGCCTGCGACTGCTCCCCCCGCTGCCCCCGCCCCAACGCCAACATACTCCCCAAGTCCACACCCACCACCATCTGGCCCTGCTTATAACATTCACCAATCGTATCCGCCTCGGCCTCATTCACAACCCCCTCCTCCTCAGCAAACGCAGCCACCACCTCGAACCAGTGGTCAGAACTTTGACCCGATTCGTTCAGCTTTCGGCACCGCTTCTCCCGCGCCAGCTTATAGCCCTCCAACACATACCGTTTCGCCCCAAAATAACTATCGTGCCAGTGCCTCGCCGGCGATTTCGAGTATCATCGACCCACCTACCCAAAGCTCACAACCGTCCTATCCACAACTTACTCGATCTACCTCTGGACATGTCTCGACCGTTTCCTCCCCGGCGCCGCCTTCTGTGGCTCCTGCACCCTCTCATCCTTCCTTAGCTCCATCACCAATGCCTATATCGTCACCGTCAAACGGTCCAGCTCCCGTGTCCCAGTCAATACCATCCAATTACCATGCATCATATACAGCTTCAGGTCAACGTCCATCGCTGTCCCAACCTCCCCAGTTGGAGCTCTCCCCGCCAGCGCTGCAACCCCCTCGACAACCCGAACCCCCGGTGCAAGCATCTACCCCGCAGAAATCACAACAATCCTCAGATGCCATGGATATTGACTCGAAGGAGCAAGTCGCATCAAGCGCAAAGAAAGAGAAGGGTACCGCTACCGCGCCCTCTTCCAAGGCCCCATCACCAAAGCCGGGCCGCGCAACCAAGGAAGCCCCTCCACTTCCTCAAGGATCCGGACTGATCACCACTGCCTTATTTGGCGGCGCAGACGATTCCAAGTCACCGGATGCGCGCAGTACGCCAAACATCATTGTTCACGTTCCCCTCCAAAAGGGCAATCATATCGTCAACTTTGCGCAATTAGCAGAGGAGCAATATGGATTCGCAGCTTTGCATCCTCGCCTGGCTGCGCACAAAGAGCGTCTTGCCCGTGTTGCTGCGGCGGGTGCTGCTCTCGAGCGCAACGACAAGGGCAAATCTGCCGGAGAGAGCGCCGAGGAAGATCTGAGTCTCGATGTAGATCGCGATAGTGATATGGATGGAGATATTACCATGGGAGGAGCAGGAACCGGGACCAATGGTGCGCCCTCTGAAGCCAGTGATGGCAAGAAGAGGCGGCGGAAGAAGGTGGAGGAGTACGATCGAGACGACCCTTTCGTTGACGACAGTGAGATGGCTTGGCAGGAACAAGCCGCTGCGAGTAAAGACGGATTCTTCGTGTACAGTGGCCCACTCGTGCCAGAGGGTGATAAAGTGCAAGTGGAACGGTTAGTTTTCTTCTTTTCTTTGGTTTCCCACCTGAACCACAACCACATACTAACCAACCAAACAGTGCCGACGGAACAATCAAACGCGGTCGTGGTCGTGGACGAGGCACAGGCCGAGGTAGAGCCTTGGCTTCACACCCCCATGTCCCCATCGCTGCAGCGGTCCCCATATCCCAAGACACAGGCCTACCCCTACGCGGTCCCGGTTCAAGAGGCGGTACCTCACGCCGACCACGCGGGTCCAAAAAAGCCGATGCTGAAAAACACGGCGAACGAAATGGCACCACGGCATCGGCGGCCCATGAAGGCCGCGGTGGTCGTGGAGGCGGGTCTGGTCGTGGCGGAAGCTCAAGTACCCGTGGTGGGAAATTGTCCGCGTCAACGCCTTCCACGCCTGCCCATAATAATAATACTCCATCAGTGATGTCGATGATGGATCTTGCGCCTGCTCCGCCGAACTTGACTCCTAACCACAATTCTAATCTCGCCCCTACGCCGGGTCCTAGCCCGCTTGCTGGTCCGAGCTTGTCATGACAATAGACAGATTGTTTTGCTTTTTCTGTGATGTTTGAAGATTTCGTTTTCCTCCTCCTCTTGCTTTCTATACTTATGGAGTTTATTCTTATGTGACTCTGTGTGTTTTGCACTTCATTTCGGTGTCGGTGTAGGTGTCGGTATGGAAAGAATGGTTGTACGTTGTTTTTCTCGTGACTGATCTCAGACTTGCTGTTTGCTTGCTTGCTGCTGCTTTTTTTTATTGTCTTCGTTTCGTTCCAGAGCCTTGTTTTGCTGTTTGCGTGTGAATCTGTATCTATACTCGTACATTTTTTAAATGTTTTTTATTTATGGTTATGGTTTTGATCCCTGTTCGTGGGACATGAATGCATTGACATCGCGTCTATGAAAGAACTTGAATGGTATTAGTGGACCCTTAGGCTGCATTCTGATGTAAAACTTCTACTAGTATCTAGTAGACTAGTACTCAATAGGGAAATCGCCACGGTACCATATACTCATACTCATACTCATACTTTGAAGAAATAAAATAATCAGATTTAATATGAAATTGAAATATCATCAGATCAGAGCTTGCACATATGTACGCCGTATCATGCAGGGAGAAGGAAACAAATCACAAGTCCAAGATCGTCCGTCGTCATTTGGTCGGTCGTTGCCAGGATGAAGGGAAGGTCATTGAGAAGGAAGCGAAGGGGAACCAGAGCCGGAGGCAAAAAAAGAGGGATGTCCAGAAATAAAGTGGGGGGGAATAGAATGGAAGATAAAAGAAGAGAAGGCAGGATGAGGGGAAGAAAGAACCAAACAGACATGAAATGAGATGAAAAGAAAAGAAAATGAAGTCGGTTGGGGAAGTGAATGGATGAATTGGATGAAACAGTGTGCTTGCCTTCAGCTCCGCTTCGCCTTGATTCCGAATCCGATTGAGGTAGGGTTGGGATAAATTCAATTGCCCTCACAAGGTATCCAAGACGAAGTTGACAAGAAAAGGCAAGACAAGGCAAAGAAAGTAGGTGGTAGAAGAAATGGGTTCGATGTGGGCTAATGCAGCTCGAAGGCGCAGTGAGAATATCATATTCATGCATATGCAAAAAGCATCTGAGATGGCCAGACTTCGCGAGAAATCATTTCAAACATGGCATATCGGCATCCCTGACTCGTGTCGGTATTTTTTGTCTTTATTTTTTCGTTGTTTGTTCCGCGTTTCAAAGGTACTCGGTACTCAGGATGTTGCACCTGGCATACCATACCCAGGGTATCCACGATAGTTTCCACCCGCGGAGACTGGTGGGGGTGGAGGCGGACCGGTTGGCGGGGGAGTCGCGCGGATGGGCAATGTAGCTGGGTTCAAGTTTGTGCGAGACTTGGTGTTGTGGGAGCTTGCGGAGCGCGGGCTCATGAAGGGTCGCGAAGGTGCGTCGACGGCTGAGACGGGATCGCCTAGATGCTGGCGGCTGGGGCGGCGGGATCGGTGATCGCTGTCGTCTTTTGTTTCCAGGGACAGGTGCTCCAATGATGGTGGTGGTGGAGACTTTGCGGAGTTGGTGCGGGACGAGTAGCTTTGAGGCTGGTGGCCGTAGTAGCGGTTTGGCATGGGGAACTCGTTGCCGATGTTGAGTGGGATTTCACCCGAGGAAGGCTGTTGTTGGTAGGGCGATTGCTGTGGCTGTGGGGGGCGGACTGTCTTGCTGATGGGTGGGGGAGGAGGCTTGGAGATTGGTGCCGGGATTGGTGCAGGGGCTGGGGGTGCTGCTGCTGGTGGTGTAGGGACAGTAGATGAAGTTGTCGGAGTGGAAGTTTGAGTGTCCTTGAGAGACTTCGGCGCAGGGGGCTGTAAGTAGGACTTGCGGTTGTGACGTTCCATCATACTGATGGCCCATTCTTGCAGGTCGACTGGGGTACGCTTTGCTGCTTGTAGGAAAGCATCCTTGTCCTATATTTGAAAGCGTTAGTCACGGTGATACCCAAAGGTCTAGGTGCAATCTCAACGTACATAAAGCTCCCGTGGAGTTGGGCGCTCCTCAGACTTCTTCAGTAGACACTTGCCAACAAAGTCATGCAGGATGGGCGGGAAAGCATCACTCTTGGGCAGCTTAGGAGCAGTCTCGTGAACGATTTGCTGAAGCAGATCCAAAATACCCATTGGGCCGGCACTGGCTCGGTCTCCGGCCGCAGATTCCGAAGTATCAAATGGGAATCGTCCAACGGCCAGTTCCATGACGGTCAAACCAACACTCCACACATCTGAGCGGACGGTATAGGCGCCTCCCTGAATACGCTCCGGGGCCATGTAGGTCGACGTTCCAACAAAGGTATCGGCGATAGAGTTGACGGTTTCCGTAGCTACACCAAAATCACACAGCTTGATGTTTCCGCGGGAGTTGACTAGGATGTTGGAAGGTTTGATATCGCGATGCATGATACGGTGAACTTCATACAGATAGACCAGACCAGCAAGAACAGATTCTGTAATTTTGCCCAGCACGTCAACTCGAACGGGACCGAAGTTCTTTGAGATATGGTCAAGAGATCTGCGTGCCACAACGTTAGCCACCAGGAGGGGTCATCAACGGGACAGGCTCCCCGCCTAGAAACTTACCCGCAGTCCATATATTCCATACACAGGACGATGTCTCGGGCCTCGTTCTGGAAGGCACCGTAGAATGTCACAATATTGTTGGAATTGCAGTCGTGTCCCACTCGAAGTTCTCGGAGAATCTGTTTTCGCACGTTTTCTTTGGCATCGACTCGGATGATCTGGTAGACGAGCAATTATTTAGCTTGGACTTGGACGAATTGACAATGGAAAAGAAAACACGATCCAAAACACTCACCTTTCGGGCCATGATAACCTTGGTCGATGCGTGCATCACCTTGGAGACTGTGCCTCCATTACCGGCTCCCAGTTCTTTCAACGTCACCAAGTCCTCACTGCGGAGATCGAGTCGGAACTCCAGGCCAATTTCCAGGGTATCTGTACGAGTGCCCTCTGAGTTACCGACCGCCCCGGGAACTTGGGCATCGCCATCAGAGGCATTCGCGGCGGCGGGCTTGGGGGTCGCATTGAGGGCAAGACCTTTGACGTTCTTGCGTTTCAACGTCCGTGCCTTGAACTGGTCGGCCATGGCTGTTTGAACGGGAGAGATAATGACAAGTCGAGGGGTCGACAAAGAAGGTGGGGGAGAAAGGGGAGAGAGAGAAGTCGGCTCAGCGCAAGACCGACCGCGCTGATGGGAGAGGGAGAAGCAGAAGCAGAAGCGCGAACTAGCGGCGGGGAACCCGATATCACCTTAAGATGTGTGCTTGGCGGCGCTGATTGGGCCTTGCGGGCGCATCGACTGGACCAACAACACCGAGAGGATGGGCAGCTGGCGCCAAAAATAGTCAGGAAAGAGGGATGTGCAGGATCACAGGGGGGCGGTGGACTTTGCTAATATGTCTTTCCTACGTTGAAGACTTTACTGTTACTTGAAACACAGGTGTTCCCTGCTTCTCCACTGGTCTTTACCCCATAGGAGCTGTTCCTCGGAAGGAAAATCCCTCTTTGTGAAAGAGTGGATTTGGGGTTGAAGACATTCACCAAAAATATTCAATATAAAGCAAATAATATTAACAGATAAGGTACCAAAGGGCAGCTAGCCAGGAACAGTACTGCATAGGAAATCAACAATGCAGGATCCGACTCGACCATGCAATGCAGTCAGATTCAGGCACCGTTTGGGTCTGCCTTGGGTGAATGCCCAGCACGTGATCTGGAAAGAAGGGTGTGGCGCCAATGCTGACATAACTGGGACTAACCACATTAGGAGAGGTATCAGCCACTCTGCACTAGCCACAAGTACCGGCCAGTCGTAGGTTTCCCTGCCTTCGCGCGCTCTGCTCTGCTCTGCTCTCACTTTCTCTTTCAATTCCCTCCAACCCACCCCCATTCCTTCGCCTTTCTGAATCGGGCACTACCGGGTGCCGGATCTGCGCTATCGTCTTCTCCATCTTCAAACTTTTGGTCCTTGTTCACTTTCCACTAGGAATAAGGATCGCTACCGACCAGCCACCATGAGTCTCCGCGACTTGGTCGATGGCGAGGCCATGAGGGATGATGACGAGAATGATGCGGATGTCGCTGAACATTACGAAGGCGATGAAGGCGAGGTCCGTGAGGGCGCCGGGACCGTGAACCACTACAATGACTCGAGCGAGGAAGATGAAGAAGAGGACGATGACGAAGAGGCCGCTCGCGCCGTGAGTTGGAGCTCGAACCCCAGGAAAGATCCATGCGCGCTAACAATCAATTCATGCGATAGGTTCGTGAAGGTTTCATCGTCGACGAGGATGAAGAGATCGAAGACCGCCGCCGTCACCACAGGGGCAAGCGATCACGCCCTCGGGAAGAGGAACATCTCGACGAGGATGATCTGGAGTTGATTGGCGAACATGTACCTGGGCTGAGCCGTGGTCAACCTTCTGAGGTATGCGCTTGTTTGACAATTCACTATGCGTCTTTGAGAAACCCTCGAGGTGTGCCGTGGTACATTTACTGACATGGCCATTGTCTACCGATCAACAGAATAAATTCAAACGTCTCAAACGCAGAAAAGACCGCGATAGCCACCAACCATCCCAAGGCGTTGATGCCATCTTCAATTCGGATGATGAGGAGGAACCGGAGCCTTACAAACATGCTGGCCCCCGTCGTGGCGGGCACGACGAGTTTGACGACTTTATTGAAGAGGACACATTTTCGGACGAGGAAGGTCAGCGTGAACGAGATGATCTGGAAGTTGCGCCTCCATCCAGAGCACATGTCCCTGGCCTCGGTGCTACCGAAGGTGCCGGTCTAGACGAAAACGCCCTGGAGGACCTTCGTGCTGCATTTGGCGATGGCACAGAATACAGATTCGCCCTCGATATCGAAGAACAAGAGGAGGAGGATAAGGTCACCGAGTCGCGAAAGATCAATATGACCGATGTTTTCGAACCTTCGGAGCTAGCGGAAAGAATGTTGACGGAGGAAGACAACGAGATCCGTCTGCTGGACGAGCCCGAACGCCATCAAATTTCACGCAAGCCATACCGCCATGTGGTGCTCTCGGAGGACCAGTTCAGAGAGGAAGCAGTCTGGATCTCGAATTTGATGCTGCTCAAGAAACGCATGGACCCGGAACTGCGTGAGCCCTTCCAACGATCCGTGGCCAAGATGCTCGAATTCTTGATTACAGATGACTATGAAGTTCCGTTCATTTTCCAACACCGGAAGGATTACATGATCCACGCTGTGAAGGAGACTCTGAATGGAGAAGATCCTGCGGATGAGTCGGCACAATACCATGTTCGTGCTGAAAAGCTCTTGAACATGACAGACTTATGGGACATCTTCGAATACGACCTCAAGTTCCGCTCGTTCATCGACAGACGATCCACAATCCAAAAGACCTATGAAAATCTGCAAAGACTTTTCAATGTTAGCGACAGCATCGTGGAAGATCTTTCGGTTTCGGCGACCACCGTCGAGGAGCTGCAGGACGTGCAAGAGTATATGCATTTCCAATATGCCTCTCAAATTCATGACGCATCAGCCGTGAATGGCGAAAGCAACGGCGAAACCCAACGACGCAAAACGACCGGCAAATCCATTTTTGAACGAGTTCGGAATGGCAAGGCATATGGGTTGGTGCGTGCCTTTGGCATCACTGCCGACGCCTTTGCACAAAACGCCTCCAAAGAGGGTCGTCGCCAATACACAGAAGATCCCACCGAGGGCCCAGACGAGCTGGCCGATCAATTTGTGGATACCAATTTCACAAACGGCTCTCATGTTCTGAAAGCCGCCAAATCTATGCTTGCTGAGGAAATCTCTTGCAGCGCTAAAATGCGCAAGGTCATTCGACAAGCATATTACATGAACGGTGTGGTTGATTGTTTCCGCACAGAGAAGGGTCTGCGCCGAATTGACGAACAGCATCCTTACTACGAATTCAAATATTTGCGGAACCAGCAACTCAGTGATATTGCTCGTCAACCGGAAATGTTCTTGCGCATGCTGAAGGCTGAGGAGGAAGGCCTTGTGGAAGTTCGTGTGCGCTTCGAGAACTTCAATCAGTTCCGCCAGAGACTCTACACAGACATCGAATCTGACAACTACTCAGAAGTTGCCGATGCGTGGAACCGCCTCCGCCGCGAAGTGTTGGATATGGCCTTGGTCAAACTGGAGCGCCTTATCAACCGCAGTGTTAAAGAAAACATCCGTCAAGAGTGTGAGAACCATGTTGCCAGAGAGTGCCGTGAAGCATTCTCTCAACGATTGGACCAAGCTCCTTATAAGCCCAAGGGTATGGTTCTGGGCACAGTTCCACGGATCATTGCACTCTCCTGCGGAAGCGGTGTTGTGGGTAGAGATCCTATCCACTGGGCCTACATCGAGGAAGATGGTCGTGTGCTAGAAAATGGAAAGTTCTCAGACTTATCGGTTGGCGACCAAAGTCGTGGTGTCAATGACGGCGCGGATGTGGCGGCGTTTTTGGATTTGGTGGAAAGACGAAAGCCAGATGTTATCGGAGTGTCTGGTATGACACCGGAGACTCGCCGTCTCTACAAGCTTCTGTCTGAGCTCGTTGAGTTGAAGGATATCCGTGGTGCATTTTACACAGATGACCGCGATGAAGAGATCAGTGATCCTTTGGAGGTGGTTATTGTCAATGATGAGGTCGCTCGTCTTTACCACCAAAGCCCAAGAGCCCGCCAAGATAACCCAGGATTCGGACCATTAACACATTACTGTGTCGCTTTGGCCCGATATCTGCAATCCCCCCTGAAGGAGTATGCCTCACTCGGTCGCGACATTGTGTCTATCCAATTCAAGCCTGGTCAGCAGTTGGTGACAGAAGAGCTGCTGCTCAAGCAGCTGGAGACAGCTCTAGTTGACATGGTCAACTTGGTGGGAGTGGACCTTAATGAGGCCGTTCACGACACAGCAAGCGCCAATCTTCTACCTTATGTATGTGGACTTGGGCCCCGTAAGGCAGCCCATCTTCTCAAGGTTGTCAACATGAACGGAGGCAACGTGAACAACCGAATGGACCTGTTGGGTGTCGGTGAAAACATCCAGTACCCGGCGATGGGTATCAAGGTATGGAACAACTGCGCTAGCTTTGTGTTCATTGACTATGAAAATGCCGATCCGGACGCCGACCCTCTTGACAACACCCGTGTGCATCCCGAAGACTACGATATCGCGCGCAAGATGGCGGCCGATGCTTTGGAGCTGGATGAGGAAGATATCAAGGCCGAGACTGACGAGAACGGCACTGGTGCCATTGTTCGGAAGCTGTTCCGCGACGAGCAACAGGATCGCGTCAACGACTTGATTCTGGAGGAGTATGCGGAGCAGCTTGAGAAGAACCTCAACCAGCGGAAGCGTGCAACTCTTGAAACCATCCGTGCAGAGTTGCAACAACCATATGAGGAGCTGCGCAAACAATTTGTCTTCCTCAGCAGCGACGACATCTTTACCATGCTCACAGGCGAGACGCCAGAATCGCTACACGCTGGCATGGTGGTTCCTATTGCGATCAAGCGGGTCTTCGAAGATCACATTGATGCCAAACTAGACTGTGGAGTCGATGCGCTGGTCGCAGAGACCGAACTCGGCGTGCCCCACGATCTTCCAGTGCGCAACGCCTATGCGCCGCATCAAACAGTTCCGGCTAAGATCTTGTTCCTTAACCGCAAGGCGTTCACCTGCAATGTGTCCCTGCATGAAGATCAAGTCAGCCATCCCTCTTACCGCAACCCGGACCGCGGCTACGGCGATTGGGATGATCAGCAGGAACGTGCCGACAAGGAGGCTATGCAAGAGAAGACACAGCAGGGTGGACAAGCCATGCGTGTGATCAAGCATCCTCTCTTCCACCCATTCAACTCCACCCAAGCAGAGGAGTACTTGGGCTCTCGCGCTCGTGGCGAAGTCATTATTCGGCCATCTTCCCGTGGCCACGACCACCTTGCTGTTACATGGAAGGTGGCACACGGTGTCTATCAACATATTGACGTACTGGAGTTGGATAAGGAGAATGAGTTCTCCGTGGGTCGTGTTCTGAAGGTTGGAGGCAAATATACCTACAGTGATCTT